ATTGTTTCTGTCTTTGGATGTCTGGCCACTTCTGATAGTGCCTAACCTAGAAAAGGAGTTCAGCATGTGCTTACTGAATCTGCCTTCTTCCATTACCAACCAGGCACAGGCCATGAAACACTGGCACTGAGTTCCGTGGATGAGCCGACTCCTCTGTTGGAGAAGTGGTAGCCCTCATTCCTCTGCCTCTCCAGTAGAAAATATCAGAAGGGACCCACAGACTTTCTTCCTCCTTTCCTCTTTGCTGACTCTTTGGGGGTGTCTTCTTTAGAGAATCTGGGTCCCCTGTACCCAAATGTGACTGGGAAGGCAGGGGGGTTGCGGAATGGAGGAGGAAGGTTGTGCCATACTTCATCCAGAAAGCATAATTGGTAGCTTATAATTGTTCTTCTGCCTGCCCACCCTCTGCTGTGCCTGCCATCTTCTCTGAGCCAGTTTGCTGCCCCTAATTTCTGCTACCTCTTTTTCTCCTCGCCCACTCTTTCCTTCACTCTCTCCCTTCACTCCACCCCCTCTGCCCTGGCTTCTAGACTGTCGCATGCATCGGCCCATTGATTCTCTTGCTCATATCTCCTGTTCACTCTTACCCATCCTTTGTATGTCTTTCTTACTCAGCCATGTCTCCTTCCCATCTGAGCACCTGGGGGCACAGACACTGACATGGGCTTCCAAACGGCCATGTGGCCATCCATCCAGAAGTTGTCTGGGCAAAAGGCCTGGGACCAGGAAGGCTGAACCAATGACGCTGACAGACGGATGGCACCCCTGGCACATGGCTCGCATTGCGTGGAGCTGCTGGGCAACATTGATTTGTCTTTCCCGAAGCATTTCATTAATGTTACGGATCTTCTAGATATGGCAACTTTCTCAGTGTTCCTCAATGTGTCTTGGCCTTTTATTGGTCTTTCTGAGATCAATGAATTTTCCTTGTGCTGTTGGCCTTTGTTTATGAATGGGCTAATCTCTTAAAACATCAGCTGTTTCTCTTGAAAAAGTCCGATGTTCTTTGTCTTTTTGAAAATTTAAGTATGGATAACTCTGGGAGTCCATATTCCGATTCCTGCTTGCAGGGGACCATTTGGGTCCTTGGAGTATGGCTGGTATCTTCCCCTCCAGATTCTAGGTGTGTTCTTTTTTTTTTTTTTCTGTCTGACAACATATACTATTTTGCTTCCATAGTGCCCATTTCTCTGCCAAAAAGAGGAAAATGTATTCCATTATCTGTTTTCTGAGATCTGTATTAGTCACTGCAATTAATCTGAGTCTGACTGCCTTTTTAGTGTTACTTGTATTGAAATTATTATAGTCGTTTTGTACATCATACTAATTTTTCTCATTTCACTCTATATCAGTCTTCCCATGGTTTTCTGAATTCCTTGTATCTGTCATTTTTTATGGGTCAATAATATTCTATCATATTCATATACCACAATTTGTTCAGCCATTCAGTAATCAATGGGAACCCTACTTTGTTCCAGTTTTTTTGGTACTATATACTGTATACTAGGTGTATAGGGGATATCTTCCTAAGGCTGTCAGCTTGAGGCAATTCTAATGTGTTCTCCCCAATATTAATCGCCAGTTACAGTTAGTATTTCCCTTATTTCATTGATTGGCCCAGTGATTCATGTCCCAGTATCATTTAATCAATGAGCATCAATTAATTAGCTTTTTTTACACAGGGATATTTGTCAAGAAGATTTAGTAAGAGCAGAAATATAAAGAATTCCACCTCCCCCCCCCATCTGGGGCATGCTTTCTCCACTCCACTTTTCCCTACTCCCACCTGGGAAGAGTGGGCTCAAACTTAAAAGGTATTTACTCCAAAGCATTCACACCCTCCACCCCCAACCCCAAGGTCATTTCCAAAGGTCGGCTGGCCAACAGATGAAGTCATTCTGAAAAATGGCATCTCAGCTGCTGGGTCTGACCCATTGCTGGGCTGGATCATATGGGTCACTCACTCCTTGGGGCTGTGCTGGAGACAGACTTTGGGACCACATAGAAATGGCTGTATCTGCATTGAAAAAAAAACTTAATAAATGATGTATTTTCCCAATAACAAAAGGTGGCATATGTGTTGTTTAAAAAGAGATTTTCATACATTATCTCATTTGATTCTTATAATATCTCTGAGGGGCCTAGTGTAAGTCATACCCTGATTTCACAGCTAAGGAAAATGAGGCTTGGAATGGTTCAGTGACTTGCCCAAGGTCATATTACTAGTAGATTTCAGAGTGGTGATTCACATATGGCTGTTCCAACTTGACTCCTTTCCATACATCACTCTTCCCTTTCTAGTTCCTTATTGGATGATGGAACAGCTTGGTACAGTGGAAAGCAGAGTGTCTCAGGAGTCAGAGGACTCTGGTTCAAGTCCTGCCTCTGATGCCTTATTGCCTGTGTGTCCTGGCTGAGTCACTTACTTCTGGGCTTCTCTAAAATGAAGAGTTTAAACTACATGGTCTCTGTGGTCCCTTCCAGTTCTGGATCTAGGATCCTGTGATTTAGAGCTGAAAGGAAGCTGAGAGATCAGCTAAGCCAGCCTCTTCATTTTACATATGAGGAAACTGAGGCACAGAAAAGGAAAGGGACTTCAGGGTTACACAGGTAGAAAGTGGCAGAGCCAAGGTTCAAATTCTGGCCCCCTAATTCCAAATTGAGTGTTCTTTCTAAACTGTAGGTAGTAGGTTACAGTGGAAAGAATGTTAGGCCAGGAGGGAGAAGACTTGGCTTTTAGCTTTGAATCTGCTACTGACTGGTGTGATCTTGCTCATGTTACCTCTCTTGATCTCAGTTTCCCCATCTGTTCAATAGGTTAATAATAACACCTGCCCTGCTGACTTTCAAGGGTGGTTGTTGGGATCAGATATACGTGGATAATGTTTAATAGCTTAGAAAGCTCTCTCACAGATATTAAACATTAGATATGGCCCTTTGTTCATCAGGGCTGAACAGGCCCCTCCTTGGACTCTTAATTTGGTAAGGGGTATTTCTCAGAATTTAATGCCATGTTCTTAGTAGAGTACAAGCTGCTAAATACATTGATCATGAGATGATTGTTATATATGTATCCATCTGGCCGGCAGCCCATCATCACATGGTCATGAATCACACTGGCCATTTGTGCTTGTCATTAGCCATACGGAACACGGATACCTTCCACCACCTGCTCTGGGGGAAATTGACATCTCCTTAGATTTACTCATTGCCGCTTTCCATTTGGGGAACTCAAAATGTGAAAACAACCTTACTCTCAAGAGAGAGGCAGGCGGGGTACAGAGCACTGAGTCTCAGTCTTTTTGGGCTCAGGACCCATTCAGAGAGCTTTTGTTTAAGTGGGTTATATCTATCAATATTTACTATATTAGAAATTAAAACATCCGAGTATTGTTATGAAAATGGTTTTGACTCTGTGGGTTCCTGAAAGGGCCTTGGAGATTCCCAGGAATGTCTAGACCGCAGAGGAAAGAACACTTGTTCAAGAGTCAGGAAACCAGGGTTCGAATCCTAAAACTGTTACAGTAAATAACCAGCAACCAAGTCACATCCCCTCTGTGGGCTTCTGTTTTCCTATCCATAAGGTGAGAGGGTCAGACTTGCTGCTGCCTCTGCAGCCTTAGGCTTCCATGTTCCAAGAGAGTTTGGAAACATTTCCTACCAGCATGCCGATGGTCAAGTTATCACCCGCAGACTCTGCTTTATGTCTTGGCCTGCTCAGCATGCGTGTAGTAGTTATTTGGGGAAAAAGGATGCTTTGCTATCCTTTAAATGGCAGCGTTAGGGAAGCAGAGAACAGGGTCTAGGCTAACTCTACCTGACGCAGTAAAGAAGTGTTGGGGTGACCAGATTGTATCACTCGGAACCCAGCAGCCCTGCCGCATGCACTTGCCTTCCGCCTCACCCCTGAGGGAGGTCTTCTGGCAGGCGGCCTCCTCCCCATTGAGGCCCACATTCTCTCACGTCCTTTCATCATCAAAGGCTCTGGGAGTCCCCAGCAGTCTCATCCTGGGGCTACAGCCAAAACAATGGAAAATCAAAGAAGCCATTGGTTTTAGAGCCGGGAGAGAGCTCAGAGCCCAACAAGTCTGGCCCCCTGCCTTTACCCAACAGAAAACTGAGGCACTGAGAGGAGAAATAGCTTGGCCAAGGTCATTCAGGTAAGAAGTGGAAGAACCGGGATTTGACCATCAACCCCTTGACTCCATATCCAGTGCCATGTCACTTTTAGGCTAATTTCGGGAAGATAGAAGGTGTTCTGAACATAGAGATACCTTAAAGAAGGTGGTCAGATTTGGCACCTAATTTATTGGCAGAGTGCCATGAGTCATCTCTGTTCTCTGTGTGTGCTGCCCGTGGACCTGGCAAGGAGCAGGAACTGTCTGGATGCTGGCCTTTTTCATACAGTAGTTTCCTTTCATGGGTACAACATCTCTATTGCATTCTTATTTGGGACAATCTAACCAGGAAATACAGGATTTCAGAAGTATAAGGATCCTTAGGGGTAATCTAGACCAGCTTTCTCATTTTGCAAAGGAGGAAATAGGCCCAGGGAGGGCAAGTGACATGCCTAAGGCCATATAGTGAGTAGTGGTAGAGTTGACAGTTACAGAGCAAAAGTTTGCAAAGAATGCTTGACATGTATTATTTTATTTGATCTTCATAACAATCCTAGAAGATTGGTACAATTATTATGCCCATTTTATAGATGAGGAAACTGAGACTGAGAAAAGGAAGTGATTGGTTTATGGTCACACAGCTAAGAAATGTCCAAGGCAGGATTTGGGTCCCATGGTTTCTTGACTTCAGGTCCAGTGCCTCCTCTAGTACATCACACTACACTCACGTTAGAGAGAAGCCTTCAACCCCAGGCTGGATGGAATGTGGCAGAGGGGATTCTAGTTCAGGTCTGAGTTGGTCTAAGTGGAATCTGCCAGCACTGGAATTCTGGGAGTCATGCTGGCTCATGGCTGCACTCATCCAATTTTGTCTCTCTGTAGGTTTTGCAAAACATCCTGGAAACTGAACAGGACTACGCTAAGGAGCTACAGTCGCTTCTTGGGACATACTTACGACCACTCCAGGCCAATGACAAGTAAGATTTCCATTGTAAGGTCCTCACTCAATAAAACCCAATAATGCCAGCCAGTGTGGCCATTACACTGGTGTCTTAGAGCTGGGCAAATGCCCTTTAAAAGAATTCCCATCATGCATGAGTTGCCAAGAACATGGCCAGGGCAGCAGAAATCTTACAAGATGTCGCTCCCCAAGAATTTGGCTGTGGAAGAGAAGATCTGATTTCCCTTTCTGCCGGGTGCCATGTTCATCCTGGATCTTTTTTCCATGGTGTGTCTGGCTTTACCCTCCAGAAATGAAATGGGCTCCCTGGTTATTTTACTCTGTGGTTCTCGCCAATAATCCCTGTAAGCATGTGAACTGGGCAGGACACAGATTGACTCTGACCTTTGCTCTCCAGGAAGGCCTCTCTGCTGGGATCTGATAGTGGGAAACCCCAGCAGAGGGCTGCCCAGAGGAACTGCAGGCGGCTGACCTCAGACAGCTCCCATTCACTGGCAGAATTTTCTCCTTCACCTTTGCACTGGTGAAAAGCGGTTACTTAGAAAGATGTCTGGCAGGAAACTAACCTCTCCCACCTCTTCCTAATGGCTCTCCCCTGCTTCTGGTTCCTTGGAGATGTCCTGGAGTCTTCCCTCTCCTTCTGCCATCCAGCAGTCTGATGAGTTGCCCAGTTCTTTCATTTCTGCCCCTGCAGCGTCTCTCCCATCTTTTCCCTTCCCCTCCACTCCTAGAACCACTATCCTAGGTCAGGCCCTTAGTAGCCTTCACCTGGACTATGGTAATACCTTCCCAACTGCTTGGAGACCCTGCTTCCAGGCTCTTCTCTCTCCAGCTTCCAAAAGAATCTTCCTAAGGCACAGCTCTGAGCATGTCACTCTCCTGCTCAGGAAGCTTCAGTGGCTTCCCATTTGCCTGTGGGATAAAATACAAACCCCTTGTTGTTGTTCGTCCTTTGTTTTTGAAGAGGATCAAAGACATCATGTTGGGTGGCGTCTTGACTGGTGCAGGTATTGGATTTAAGTGAGGCACGCTTGTACAAAGCCATCAGGCTCACTCTCTCTAAGTCCAGTGGTAAGACAAAAGGCAGGATGACTGGTGATGGCCTGGGATGCAGTGGATGACCTTGGCATCTTCCATGTCTGACCAGGCTGTAAGCACTCCACAGCGCCTGCTTTAGCTGCCTTCATGGCCTTTGGAACAAATTGTTCTTATCTGCCCATTCCACCAGGGGAAGCCTTCACATGCTCGGGGTGGACATCCTCTTCACTCACCGACGGGTTTCAGGCCTGCTGACCACTCTCAACCTGGTTTAGCCCGTCTACCAAGATGGTTTTACTAGGGTGTGGCTGCTGCGCATGCTACAGCTTCTTGGAGCCACAGGGGAGAGACAAAGTCTTAGCCTGGCACTTAAGGCCCTCCACAATCTCCCTTCAATCTGCCTGTCTTTCTCCCACCTCCCATCTCATATATTCACTTCTGTACCTTCACATATATGATCCCTCTGCCTATAGTGGCCCTGTGTCCCAGGCGCCATCTTTCATGAAGAATTTCCTGATCCTTCCTCCCTCCCTCTCCCAGTGAAAGTGATCTTTCCCTCGTCACATTTCACCAAGCATTTTGCTTGCACCTCTCATTGGTACTTTTCATATTCTTCCTCATCTCCTTCTTTGTACTTGGGTCTCATTCTCCATAGCAGAACGTAAGCTTTTGGAGGATGAGGTCTGTATCATTCCCCATCTTGCTCAGGGCCCTGCAAACAGTTGGCGTTTACCATGTGCTTGTTGCCTTGAATTGCATCTTGGCCATGTGAGGTGACCATTGAAAGGTCCAGTCGAGCCCCCTTCAGTGTGTAGATGTCCAGCATTTGTAAACACAGACTCTCTGTACAGGCATGTGTTAATATTTACCTTGGCCAAGCTTTATCAGAGATTAAGATATTGGCACAGTCTGGTGGAAAGCTGAGCAATGATTTGCAATCAGTGTGTATAATTGAGGACAAAACCTTTCTCTGGCTGCTGTTCCTCTCTGAGCTGACCTTTTTGTGCACCGACATGGCTCGGTCACAGGGAACATAATGCATGTTTCTCTGTCCCTTCTTACATTTACCAGTTCTTTCCCTGATGTTGTAGAGAGAATGAGACTTGTGACCCAAAGCCCTATATGGAGATGTATGTGGAAACCTAGTACAGACTCTGCTGTTTACCTGGGTGATCTGGGGCAAATCCCCTCCTTTCTCTGGGCCTCAGTTTCTCCATCTGTAAAAAAGAGAGGCCTGGACTAGAGGACCTAAAGGTCTAAAATTCAAGTCTTCTTGGTTGGTTAAGCATTGCCCCTTGCTGAAAGTCTCAACTCCAAACCATCTGTCTCCAAATGATAACAAAACGAGATAACGTGCTTTGTAAACCTTAAGGCGCTACAGAAATGATGTTAGCTTTTCTTTTCTTTTTTTGGGGGAGGCTTTTTTTTTTTAAAGGCAATTGGGGTTAAGTGACTTGCCCAAGGTCACACAGCTAGTAAGTGTCAAGTGTTGGGTCTGAGGCCGCATTTGAACTCAGGTCCTTCTTACTTCAGGGCCGGTGCTCTATCCACTGCGCCACCTAGCTGCCCAAGAAATTATTATTATTATTTTTAGGCAGTTGGGATTAAGTGACTTGCCCAGGGTCACACAGCTAGTAAGTGTCAAGTGTTTGGTCTGATGTCAGATTTGAACTCAGGTCCTCCTGACTTCAGGGCCACCTAGCTGCCCCTAGCTTTTCTTGTTAGCCCTTGTCTGGCTCCACATTCCTGAATTTTCCCTCATTCACGCTTTCGTGGACTTCCCTTCCAACGATAAAGACATTTTTATTCCAGGAAGGCTGTAGCTTCCAGGTCCTAGATTTAGCACTGGAAGGGACCTCAGAGACTGTCAAGTCCAACCCCCTCATTTTACAGATGAGGAAACTGAGGCTGAAAGAGGCGAAGGTCCAAGGTCACCCAAGTAGTAAGTAGCAGAGCTGGGGTTTGAACTCACATGCTCTGATAGCAAATCCAGGGCTCTTCCCACTGAACCTCCCCACTCTTCCTTTCTTGCACCCTGTGACTTCATGGATGTAGGGAATTCCTGGTAGGGAAACTCTCTCCGGCAATGGAGGATAGTAACTCTTCTGGAGTCTTAGAGAATTGCCCAGGCCATAAAGCTCCTCCATTTCAGAGGCAGGTGAGCTGAGACCTTCTAGACTCTCAAACTGACCCACTGTCCTACTCTGTTACCATCTCTCACGCTGGAATGGGGCCAGTGGTGCTAAAGCAGAAGATGTGTTGGAGATTATGGGAGCGTGGTAAGCTCAGTGGATATGAGATCTTGAAGGCAGAAGAACTCTAGTCGGTGCTCACAGCAGGCCGGGAAGCGGTTTTCTGGTTTGATTCTCACAACAATCCCACGAGGTAGATGCAGGAGTAAGAATAATAAATAATAGCTAACATCATATAGCACTCTCAATGTGCCAGGCACTGTGCCGAGCGCTTTACCTAGTACCTCATTTGGCCCTCACAACAGCCCTAGGAAGTGGGTGCTGTTATTATTCCCTTTCTACAGATGAGGAAGCTGAACCTAAGTGACTTGCTCAGTCACACAGCTTTTCTGAGGCTGAATTTGAACTCGGGTCCTTTTGACTCCAGGCCTTGCGCTCTCACCATGGCAGCGCCACCTAGCTGCGCTATGGTAGGAGGCGGGGAGATAGACAAGGGAGATAGCTGCACATCGGAGTCTTGAGAGAATAGAAGTGTGACCAGGGAATGATTGAGGCTGAGAGGGAAGAAAGAGACAGAAGTCAGAGGAGGTGGAGACACATGTGCAGCCTTGCCTGCGCCTGGGGAGAACTGCAAGTGAATCAGCCGTGGAGTTGCTTCTCCCGGGTCCAAGTCCTTTTTCTGTATCAGGGCATTGAAAGGCTCTGTATGAGTCAGGCTGCTGACAGTGTGATGCACTTGGAGGGGTCAGAGGGGACAGCTAAGCTCCCGTGGCCATGGGCAAGGCAGCAGGATTTTGGAAGATTGCCTTTTTCACACCTGCAGCAAAATGAGGTTTTTCTAGCTGTCCCAGAGAGCAGAGTGAGACCTTTTAAAGCTCTAGGGCCTTTCAATAACATATGAGTTTTCCTTTTCTTTCTTAGCAAGTTATTCTGTCTGTAAGAATGATGTCTACCTAGATATATTTTCTCTTACTGGGGGGAGGAGTGAAAATCACGAGCCTCATAGGCCGTCTGGTCTGCCTTCTGCCTGAGTCTTCTCTACAGCATCCTTGGTAAGGGTCATTCAGCCTTTGCCTGAAGGCCTCCAAGGAGGGGACCCCACTACCTCTTAAGGCAGCGTAGGCCATGCTGGGACAGCTCCACTGGACAGAGGAGGCTTTTCCTTACATCAAGTCTTAATCTGCCCATCTTCGGTTTCTCCACCCCGACCACGCCTAGATCTGCCCTCTGGAATCAAGTAGGACAAATGTAATTTGTCTTCTGCCTGCCAGCCCTGCCAGTCCTTGAAGGCAGTCACTAGGCCCTCACTAAGGCTTTCCCCCTCCAGGCCCTTTATCAATCTCTAAGCTTGCCAGCTGGGCAGTGTCTTTCCTAAGTTAGGATGGCCAAAACTGAAGCTGATATCGCTAGTGTTGTCTGAGCAGGGCAGAGAACAGTGAGACTGTTGCCTCCTTTCTTCTCCACGGCTCACGTCCATGGTGGCTTTTATGGCTTCCATAGGATACTGTTTCTGCAGGTTGAACTTGCAGACCACTAAGCCCTCCAGATCTTTTTCACTCTAATCCTGCCCTCCCTGTGCCATACTTGTAGAGTTTTTTTTTTAAACCTAAGTACAGGACTTTGTCCTTATGTCTATTCAATTTCAGCTGGTTCGATTTGGCCCATTGCTCTAGCCTGTTGTGGTCTTTTACCGAATCCATCTTTTATCAACTGTATTAGCTGTCCCTGTCAGCCAACGGTGTGCTGGAGCCAGAGCCCTTTGTTAAGTTTTTGGTGGAATTCAACA